AATAAAAATCATATAATGCGATGTTTTGGATTGCGCACGATATTTTGTCGATGCCTATCCCAGAACTAGAGCAAATCAAACTTTTTTAAACCATCATCAGATAGCATGGGTGAGAAAAATCTTTAAAGACCTGAAATTGGCTGCATAATTAATTAATTCTGAAAAATCTTCCGGCAATTGCACAAATGCGTTTTCCAGAACTGGTTGTCGTATGAAACTTCCTTCAAATCTATCGCCTTGTGATGATGTCCACCTAAAAAAAAAGCTAAATGCTATCTCAAAGGAAAAACTGATTGTTGCTGTAGCTCTTCCATTTGTTGTTCACGTATGACCGCAAAAATTTCTAATGCAAAGTGTAATAAAACTTGTCATATAAAGTAACAATAATTTTCTTCAAAATCATAGTAAATTAATAAACAAATATGTATATGTATGTTAAGTTGAACAAGTAACCTACTTAAGCGTAATTAATGGTATCTAGTGATTATTGTTATCGAGATGTCGTGGGATTCAAATTTCAAGTCTTGACTCACTTTCATATAAACCCATTATTTTATAAGTCCTGGTATATTAAAAATTTACATAGCCTACCATGTAAACAGTTTCTCAACACATTGTCCACCGAGAAATCCGCTGATACTGGGTGTGAAACCAAGATAACGGCACAAAGGCTCGAATTCATTAACAGAAGGATCTGAAAAACAGGAAATTCACTGCTCATCATTTAAAGCAGTTATTTTAATTCCTTCAAATCTTTATATATGTATGCGAAATATTATTTTGAATGAAATAATCTTTGCTACATTACCTTTTAAAGCTTCTGGAGGTGGCACAAGTGTAAGCGCATGGTAAAGAAGTGATAGTGGACGTAGAAATTCAAGTACTGCCGTATGAAGTGTCTGCAAAATTTACATTTTTAAAATAAATTTTTTTCACAGAATCAAATTATTTAGAATAATTGATAAATATATTTTACGCCTTTCACTAGAGTCGATCTGCTCATATTTTTACAGTAAAGACCAGAAAGCGTAGAAACACCGAGGTGAAACATTTTCAAGCACCAATAAGGAAGGGGAAAAAACATTGCCACATATATATCGGGTAAAATTAAGCTGTTCCAACCGTTAATAGTTTAATTAAGGACTGATTACTGCAAATGATATAGGATTTTTACTAAAAATCAATGCTCAAGATTTTTTGCGAGCATTTATGATATATCTTCTCCAAAAACATCCAATGCATTACTTGGTAACGACCCATAAGTGTCAATGACATGGAACTGTGTAAGCAAATAAAAGAAAAAAGTTAAAAATAATCTCGAACAGCTTCAAAACACCTTCTTTAGTGCGACTATTGATGATAGCTGTTGTCTGGGACGGACAATAGTGTAAAGATGCAGAAGTAGGTCATCCAACATCTTATCCTCTTGTATAGTAAATGGCGAAGTTGGTTGTTTTGAAAGAACCGGTTCAACATCAAATGTAGCAAAAACCTAAAAAAAAAACAAACAATTATTCAGGAATTCATGTGCAAACAATAAGCCTAAAATCAATTTTAGATCACTTTTTGAATCAGTTTCAGATATTTATAACTTATTGAAAATTGAAGTGGATAAAAGGAAGATGAAAAAATAAGAGTAAGCCAAATTATGAGTAAGACTCGTTGAAATCGATTGCCAGTAGATATCTAATGCTAATATATTCTCCTTTCATCATTTGATAATAATCAACAGTACTGATCTATATTTGCACGATATATAGAAGAGAATACAGCACCAAAAGTTAATATTAAATATAATGCATACTTGATACAGATGTCCAATGAGTGCCAATTTTATAGCATACTGTTCATTCTCCGAACCATATGGAAATGTAACAATTTCTTCTTTATTCATAGCTTTACTGTTCTTGTTCATATGTTCCCAGCCTTCACACATTGCCATTTCAACCTACAACACCACGCTCAACTGCGAAATGTACAAATTTTTGTATTTTTGTATAAAAATTAACTTGAATACTTACTGCAAGTGAGAACATATCGATTGTTAGGATGTTTACTGGTTTCTTAATATCTTCTACTATCAAAACAACAACTGCGAATTCCAATTGAGACTAAAAAACTATGGATATTAATATTTTCAAGAGTAATACTTAGTATACTTCAATTGATGGTGATATATAATCACAATGAAGATAATTAAAAACAGTACACTAACTAAAGATATTAAAATGCAAAACCAGTCTATGGTTCCGATTACCTGGTTTTCATCATCATTAGGTGAAATTTTGTTATCATCAGGTGAAATTTTTTTTCTAAATTGAAGTCATAAAATTTTAAACAGAAAACAAATTAACATTTGAAAATGTACATACCATACTTCTAAGATCTATCCCTTCTGGTAAATGAATCCCCACTTTCTTTTTTGCTTCGACTGTCTTTAACGATGACTTATCAATGGGATGCTTTAAATCTGTGGCATAATCTGTTGCGGGGTTCTGATCAGTAGCTGCTCGATGTGATAGAAGTGGCGATAACAGTTGGAGCAGAAGAAGTTGTCGGAAATAGTATGATGAATGACATTTCATTGTCGCTGCAGCACAACTTCGTGACAATGCATATATACATTCACGCTGAAAATAGATTTAGACATTTATTTTCAGAAAATTGAATGAGTTAATTCGTTTGTTAACTAATTCGTATCACTATTCTTATTCACTTTTAAGTCAACATCAAAATTTCATAAAATGAATTCATAAACAAGAAAGTATCACGACATTTGTTAGATTCACTATTTCTGTATACTACTTTGATCGCCTCAGACTTACAATACGGTATATATGTTATGAGACATATAAAACTAGCTACCACTGCTAATGAGAAATATCACCCCACGTAACATTTAAAAATAACCTACCTGTCTGGCATTCCATGCTCCAAATAAAGGCTTTCCACCACGGCGAAGCACTGTTGCAATTGATCGAAGCGAAAATGCAGCAGTTTGGAAGGTAAAAACGGCTTCCATAACTTCCCGATTGAAATAACCAGAAGTCCCGTCATTTTGCAAATGCTGTAAATTTTTCAAAGCATAATTCTTCTTTTAGCTCACAATGTGAAAAAAACATACCACTTTCCATAGACGATTATTAAAAGATTAATATAATTCATTGCCTCTCTCTTATCATTCATACAATTCCAGAAAACGCTGAAATAATCCAAATAGCAAATATCCTTAACAAGATTAATGCTAAAGTCAGCCACAGCGTTTCTACATAGCAATAACACTATAAAACACACGGATAAAAGTGACTCTAGCCTTTTGATGAATCACTAACCAAATAAGTTTGCTTGAGGAAATAATGCATCATATCCGAAATTGCCGGTGAAAAATATGTTCGTACACTGAAAATTTTTTCGATGAATATCGAATTCAAATAAAATTTGCAAAATTTATTTAATTCAGTCGTATAATTTCCTTGCCATCTTCTCTAAGCATCATAATTCTTTCTCTTCTTGCTCACAATTTCAATTTCTTATGAATTGATTCGCTAGATTCTTCAATTTTTCATTTGTTAAAATACAAAAATACCACACCCATCATTTTGCTGCTTTTCCGGTTGAATAAGCATGTCTTTGATCCTGTGCATTACATCCGGAATAGACGTTAAGAATGCAAAAAAACGTCCGTCAGAACAAGCATTCTTTTTCATAGCCATCTCCATCGCATTTTCTTCATTATCATCTATCTCCATCATTTCATCTACTTCTAGAAATTGTGACTTATATCTCATTCCAGCGAATACAATTTATCTAACATGTCTTCAGTTTTAATATTTATTAATCGGCATTTGCAATGAATCACTGCTCATTCTAATCATAATGTTCCTATCTCGTATTTTATGCTTCACCAAAAAATTAAATCATATAATATTTTTATGTCTTAAACATTGTTTTACATATAATCATAATTAAAAAAAAAAAACATTGACAACCTACTCGGTGATGTTTGAGGATTCGTCTCCATCATAAAAGACATGGTAGATGTTGAGGGAACAGATGTCGACAGCGTATTGTCAGTTTCAGCTTCTTGACTGGCGGCTAATTCCATCAGCGATCGTTCCGAATGTGACCTAAATTTTATCTTTCATTGAATTTTGAATGAAGTTGTTACACTTATTTTCGATGCTGCAATAATGCTAAGAAAAAATGAAATAAAAATTGCACACCTCTTCTTGCTGTGACCTTTTAATGATCTATCATTTTTGGTGGAATATGTGTCATCAAAAAATCCAACGAAATAATTTATCCAATCCTCAAATTCGACGTGCTTTTCTTTATTAGCTACTCTGCAAAATTAATTGAAAATAATTGTAGTGTGCCGCACTTAACGATATTATCGTTGAAATGTTCAGAGTTCAAAAGACTATGCGTTTAAATATCCACCTTTGTGCGGAGAAAGTAAATGCGATAATTCGAAAAGATGCCCGCCCAATCGCGAAAGATAAAAGTTGAAAAAACTATTTGTGCGAAAAGTTACCTGTCAGCAAAAACTTGTACAAGAGGAGGAAGAATTGGGAGTATTGTATTGCTCAGCCGTTTACACAGTGGGCATAGATATTCACCGGAATTAACATCAAGCACACGCGGATTGAATGCCATGAGTTGTCGATTACGGCCGCGATCCCGATCTTTCAGCAGCTCAGAAAATCTAAAAAATACGATTGCATCGAAACCAAAGAATTCATTGTCATATAACAATATAAAACACTTATTCTATAATTCGACAAATTATAAAATATTCTATAAAATATCCTATTGAACTATAATATTGAACAACGTTTTTTTAGTCTCGCAGCATGGCACTCAATCAAAACATTATGCAGTATAAATTCAGACATATTTCCATAAGCAGTAAAAAGAATTCTTACTTTTTATAACAATTAAAATGCATTACATGACCACATGTTGAAGCTCCAGGGCCATTTCGAAGAGAAGCCGACATAAATACTTTAGACAATTCTAATGCAGCTTCTTCCTGGCGATTAAGTCTTGCAAACAGTGATGACCTAAAAACATGGAATTGGATTTTATTGAAGTATCTAGAAAAATTATTCCAGTCCATTTGTTGCTGTAATTTATTCAACGCCAATAGATGAAGTTAAATAATTTTTGTTGAAATTGGCGCTGAAATGGATTTATTCTCGCTGAAACTAGAGAACTTAATGTTTTAGAAAACATTCGGAATAAAGTTCTTACAAGTTCAATAGAATTTGACACACTTACTTTTGCATAAATGCAGCACATACTAATGCCTGACCATTCACTGTCACATCTTCATCTTCTTGACATAAAATACATGTAATTCGACGGCAATCATTGCATCTGGTAATACTCCGATCAATGCCCAAACATATTGGAAAACCGCTATCTTGCGGCAAAATCCTAAACAAAGACAGGAAATCCTTAGTCATGGAATACTGTTTGTTGCAAAACAGCATTTGAAAAAAAAAGTATGAATTACCAAAATTTTCTACTTCAGTCAAAAAAAAGAACAGCCAACCCCAATGGCTCTTCATCATCATCATGTCTCTGAGATTCTTTCCCCTCAACAAATTCTTTTCCAAGCAGATCTTGGTTTTGCATTACAAATTGCTTCTGCAGTCGACTCATCTACAAAATTTTAAAATTAGCTCAATCAACAAAATGAACGTCAAAAGTAAATTTGTTCTCGGAACAGACATATTTTACCTGATCCATTGCTTGCTTTCGTTTTTTCGCAGCAATAGCCGCTTTCTTGGCTTTGATTTCTGATTCAGACACTTCTGCTTTCGGCTCCGGCCATACAACAGTTCCTTTGCTTTTCGATTTTGTCTTCTCATAAAGCTAAAAAATATTCCATGTTCATGCATAATGGACCGCAAATTAACATTTTTTCCTAAAAAACTAATTTTTACTGAGATAGGATTTCAGTTTTCATCAATTTCTCATCCTCTAATCTCAACTTTTCACTTTTGATGGTTTTATCTTCTGTAATTTCAATCTCCACAAAAATATCTAAACAGTTCTCGTTAATCCAATTTGAAGTAATGAATTTATTAACTTAACCATAGCACTGGGTTGTACATTCCAAGACACAAAAGACTCATCATTTTATACCGTACCTATGATGAAATGTAAATAACAGTGATATAAGCAAAATAAAATCAAAATTATAATGCCACAAAGAAAATATTATTCTTATAAAAATATTAAAGAAATGTAATAAAAAGACTTTTTTCAAATTTCAACAAAATTTTCGAAAACACTTCTAGTCTTCTGTTTAAGCCATATAATAGATAAAATTTTACATGAAATGAACAGTGATGATAACCAACCTCAAGCAAATATTCCAGCAGGCCGGCATGCGGTTCTGATTCAGGTTTTCCGACCAAGCTCTTCATCAATGTGAATACATTAGCTTCCTCAGCACAGTTGATGAAATCGAAGTTTTTGTTCATCGTCTGTTCATTAAGACCCATTCCCACCAGGAAAAGCGCCTACAAAAAAGAGTTAGAAATTTCAGTCGGAAAATACTTACAGGCAAATTCCAGGTACTAAAAATTAAAACTATTTTATCGATTAGTTTTCTACTGATGCTTTAGCATTAAAAAAATAAGCGACAGGTATTCTTTTAAGTATCCTAAAGGATACCAAAGGATACTTAAAAGCATACTTTTTTAATGCTACCAAAGTGCCAGCATCATCATAAAAAAAGTGATGATAAAAATATCAAAAATTCAAGTTTCATAAAAGCTCAGGCAGTAAAAAAATAAGGACATAAATTTTGAGTAAACTCAAACAACAAATGAGTTTAAAAAATAGGCAATACAGAAATGATTTATGCAAACATACTCGATGCAGTAGGCCATCACTTGAATAGCGACTTCTTCTTGCTGTCCTCTCAAGAACGATACGTAATAGCTGCATCATCATTTTGCTGCGCAAAAGATTTACGATAGGCGCATAAAACGGTTCAAATTGTGGTGACATCGGTGGTGCTGCTATTGCTACCTCTCTGCAGGCAAGAACTATTAATTCATGACTTTATAGGATTAAATGAATAACAGTTGCTGAAATTGAATTACTGAAATTTACTACACCGATACTTTCATCTTTAACTTTGATTCAGCTTTCTTTTAATTCATGACAATTCCAATTTTCCCTCAAAACGACCGAGATTCTACTCCTGTGCATTTCTCATATTAAATTTCATTTTTAAATAACCGCTTCTCAGCAAAGCGTACTAATATTGTTATGCTCATAACTCCTGTTGTCTCCTCCTCTGTTACCCTAATACTGATGTAAACCGAAATGATTAAATGGCAATCAATAGTTTTTGAAAAACAAATTTCAAAATAACTGCGAGTTTACAATAAAAATATTCTCCAAAAATTCTAACGTACTTTTTGAGCGCTTTGCTAATACACTTTTGCCGGTACTGATCTGCATTTGAAACATCCGTTTTCGAATAGTGATAAAAAAATGCATTGTATTCATTTCTTACACTGTCTTTTAATAGGAAAATACCTGGCGACGTCTTCGTTGGTTTCCTGCAAAAATTTTAACAATTAAATGAACTAAATTTCTTATCAAATGATACCTTGGTAAAAGGAAAATCAAAAAGCTAGGTTTAAGACATGAAAAAACTTGGAAAGTGCAAGGATATTTTCCGGAAGACAGAGATAAATTAAATAACTTGAACTAAACAGCAAGGGAAACTAAAATTTAAAGAAATATACCTGAAGTCTCCGACACTTCTAGCTGCTTCTTCCACAGAAAGTTCCGCAAAAAGTTGATTCACCGGCATTGCACGTTCAATCTTTAAATCCAAAAATAAGAAATTTTGGGATTATAAAAATGTTCACTAATAAAAAGAGAACACATTACCTTACTGAAAGGTGTTGGCTTTGTAGCAAGAACGTGGAGAACCTCGCGTCTTAATAACGCTTTCATCGTTGACTTTCCAACACCTGGCATATAACGCTCTCCTGTAATGCCATTTCTATCCTAGTTTTGCTTAATTGAAATGAAACAGTTTATTGAAAAAACTAATTAATGGAATAAAAATAAGTACTAAAACCAGGCTTGTCAAAATGATTAACCCTTGCAAATGAATCAAGATAAAATAAAATAAAGGCGATGCAATATAAAATGATAGAATGGTTAGAGGCAGCACTGCCCGCTTACTAAATTTATTAACAATTCTGGATAAAAATCGTATGGAAAAGTAAATAAAAAAAGCTAACCAATAATAATGATGAATAAGTGGAGCATTTCCTCAGCTAGCGTAATCGTACATTTGCTCAAATCATCGGATGCCACATTGCTACAAGCTGCGCGAATTTCCTCGAAATTTGTTTCAGCCCAAACTCGTAGGCCGAAACGGTGCAAAACCCTTATAATGAACGTGTTAGGTGGTATCACTGCAGCACAAACCTGAAACTTAACCTTTTAAGCCACACTCATACAAAATATGATCTTCACATTGCACCAGTTTAAAATAAAGATTCCGAAAAAAAACAATAGAGCAGCAAAAAAAGAAATCAGAAGATGCAAATTATAATTTTTAAAGATTTTATGTCTGTCTGCCTGTTACGATATTGAATTTTGGACACAAAATATTAGTATTGAGCACTACGTGGTGTTTCCCTCGGTTAAATATTTAGTTTACTCGATTCGTTGATTCATTTCCTCTAACGAAGGATTTTGTAAGAAAAATTGGACTGAATCCCTAATGCAAACAAATGGAGTCAATGAATAACAGATAACGGAAACAAAAAGAAACTCATTAGTAGTACTCCAAGACCACGACTACCTAATCGCTTCAAGATAAGAAAATATAAAATGCTTTACTTGTAACATCAAAATATCCCGATCAAACATTTCAGCACGGCAAGTCGGTGCAGAATAGTTATGGATCTAAAAAAAACTTCAAAAACATAAACAGTAAAAATTCAAAAATTACACATACTGACAATAGGAGTACAACTTTAATATTGTGAAATATTTATTATAAAATGGTTCCAGACGTTCTACAAGATCATAACCTAAACTCAATACACGAATTGCTCATTTTTTTTTCAAGATGAAAATGAGCAATTTTCAAGAAAAAAAAAATGAAAATGAGCAAATTTTTCAAGATGAGCAATTTTCAAGATGAAAAAAAGGAGAAAATAAAAGAAAATAGAGTGACTCTACCTGATTTACCAATGAAAATCCATTCCGTCGCCACATTTGCGCTTGTGATTGAGAACAAAGTACAAAAACCCTGAAATTCAAGGGTTATCCATAAATTGAATAACTATTAGAGATTGGAATTTTAAATTCAATAAGGGTTTGATAAATCGCAAGCAAACGAAAACCTTAAAACGTATTACGCAAACTTCTTCATTTCCAAATAGAAAACAAATTATGTTCATCACAACGAAATGATTAAAAAATGAAAAAAAAAAGCTAATCGATGGGAAGAAATAGATAGCATCAACTATCAATTTTTATTTTAATTATCTTATTTCCGCATAGTCCCAATTTATTGCAAATTAATTATCTCTTAAATTTCAAGCTTGTTGAGATAAAATAAATCGATAAATCGGATAATTACCGTAATGGCATTTCCATTAGAAGTGCACGCTTCCCTTTCAGATTGACCATTCCTTCAGGAACTTTTTCTGTATTATTCACAACGCAAATTTTTTGGAGCAGTGACGGCTGTGCGGTGAATAAACCGGCCAGAATTCGCCAAAGTGGTTGATGCACTGACAGTAAACCATGTGACAAATCAAATGGTATGGAGGTCGCTTTTATACCATTCACTGAAATAATTTCGATAGTAGATTATTTTTGATCTTAAATTGAAATTTTGAAAATTCTATCTCCCAGAAAACTTCCAAATAATGCTCATGGTAATTTCTCAAATGTAGATGAAAAGGCCGCTTGAAATCTAAAGAGTTATCCAATTTTATTAAAAGACTTTTCAACCCTATTTCAAAACCGTAAAAATCTAAATATTTTATTTCAGAAATTAAAAGTAAAAAATGTGCATTACCTACCGTCGAATAAAAAAATATAAAAATCAACAGCTTACCTTCTACGACAATCTTATTTGCAAAATCAGGACTATGATTAGCCATTGCTTCCAACTTGCTGATAAGTTGAATCATGAGACGATTATGAACAATTTCCTACAAAGAAAACATAAATAATTAAACAAAATTTGAAACAATAAACCGGTATGCTATATTGTTCATTATCAAGCATCGAGAAGAAAGGTCACATAGTCGGTGTAAGGGAGATGCTGAGCATAAAAAATGATAATGATAAAATGGCAAGAGCAGTTTAACCTTAATAGCTCAAGAATGTGAAATTTATTTGTAGGAACATGATACACTTTCAACTGAATTTGAATAACTAAAATTACAAAAATCAATATGGACTAAAGATAAAAAAGATTTTGAAAGAAGCATGCTCACATCTGAATTAGCCCAACATATAATCAATGTAAGGACGTGTTGTAATTTGATTTGAATATTGAAAGCAGTCTCCCATTCTTGCTCCCAAACTTGGTGCTCTGCGGTTTGACGACGAACTTCATTCATACCCTGTAATTTATTAAATTAATTAAACTATTTTGATCCATGAGTAATAAAAGAAAAACATAATTTGAATATAAAATCAATAGTGTTTTCTAAAACATATATTACATTCATCCATAACAAAGCATAACTAAAATGAAGCGAAAACCTGCATAAACGAAAGAAATCGTATAAGTGACGAACATCCACTAAGGAAATTTTCACGTAATGCAGATGTCCAATCCTGCTTCGCAGGAACTACAGACAATAGATATCTGTAAAACATTTCTTTAAATCTTTTATTCTAATTCTTCTTTTTCTTATTTCGCTTATTTTATTAAAATCAACATTTCAACAAGAATTTTGTATAGTAGTCATGCCAAATTTAACTAGCAAGTGCATACGATACTGACTAATTAAATGAAACAAAGATGTTTTAATAGAGGCTAACCACTTGATATCAGCTTCCAGTTTTTGCGTATTATAAACTTTTTAAGTAAACTACACTTACCTCTGATCACAGAGCATGTATAAAGCACGTCGTAGCGTATGAGGATATGATCGTACAGAAAAATCAAATCTCATTTTGTCTGGTGCTAAAATAATTATTATTTAAATATGCTAATTAATAATTAGTGAAATGACATTTCCTTTGTTTTATTCTATAGCTTTAGAAAAATTATAACAAAACAAAAGAAGATAAATAAAAACTGAAACAACTGATTACTTTTGAGATATTTTCTGCATTGACTGATCAACGTATCGAATATAATTTTCAAAGCTGATTCCTCAGCAATTAGCATTCTCGCTATTGTAGGTACGGTAAATATCTAAAAAAATTTCAAAGAATTTCAGAACATTATCAAAAAATGAAAAAAAATATAGCTTGAATGTCTCAATTATATCTCAAGAGGTATAAATGAGATATTCAAGCTGTGTTCGAAGAAAATCAAAAAAATCAAAGAATTAATCATTTCGGCAAACATTTCCGCTCCGTTATTTTCAAAGCAAGACATAATTTTTAAAAAAATCTGATAAAAAAAACAGATTAGTTTCTTGTTTTCGAATTTTATTAATCTAAATAATTATTTTTTAAATATTTCTCTAAATAAAGGAAAATCATAGAAACGATACCTGAACGGTTAAGGCCGTGATGGATACCGCCTGATCGTGATCGTCATCAATGAAATCGTCGTATATCTTTTTGTATAACTGAAAATAAGCTCTCTGAATTTCTTGGATGATCGGAATTTCAACAGCTTGAAGTTCTTTAAATATTATCAATTACCTTGCACTCTACTGATATAAAACAAATTTAAAAATGTGATTCACTTATGATACTGCTAACAAACCACCTCTTCTAATCCATAAATTATTTATAATGTGATCATGATTACATATAGGCAATTATCAATGCCAAAGTAAAACAAAATCACACATGTTTTTCCGTTATAAAACTTAACACAATGATAGCCGTGCGATATCAACGTATTATGGCATAGTTCCGTAAACGTGTAAATATTTGACAAAGAAAAACAAAAAACAAAACGTACTTGAATATACAATTTTGAGAAAGCTTTTTTCTGCTCATTATTCATCAATATTGTTGCCATAATCAACTGATGAAAACTTATTCTTGCACCTATAAAACCTTTTGCAATCAGAGACAAATCGATAATTTTTGCTAAGAATAAGTCGATAATTTTCGAGAATAATAAATTAATGAAATGTTCTCTTAAAAATTCCACGATTTGGTTTTAATTTCATTTCAGTTTAAGAAATAACCAATAAAATCCACGAACATTTATCCTGAATGTTTAGCAAATAAAAAAGAATGAAACCTTTCCATAGCACACTATCACATCTCATTATATGGGCCATAAGCGTTTGATCCACTTCTTCTGTGCTATCACTTGCTTCCAGTTCAATTTTCTCACTCAATAATATATCACATATCGTAAGTGCTAAAGCTGCTGAAAAAACCGAACTATGGAACATTTTTAGAATCATTAAACTTAAATATTAAGGAAAATTTTGTTTCAGAATTTATATGAAATAAGTATATACGATTTTATAAAATGCTTACGAAAATGACGTGTTTGATTTGTCAACCATCCAATTAGACGTACTGCAAAATTCTGTAATGAAACAAATCGACTATCGATAACACGCACATCTAGTGGGCCACTTTTTTCCGTTCGATGATTTGAATCCCTTTGAGTACGCCTCTAAAATTAGTGTCTTCGCAAAAATACTTCGCGAAATAAAAATATACCTCCGCAAAAAATTCTGAACAAATTTCTCAACCTGAACTGAAAAAACTGCAAAAATTAGTTCTAAAATCTAAATTATAGCGAACAAAAATGAATATCAGTCACATAGGCAAGGAAAAACCATCTAAAAAGTACGATTACTCAGTCTTTTATATGACATTCATGCACAAGCATATCTTTTACAATGTGCAAATCATTATTTTTCTCACCTGGATTTCATCTTTTGCCTTTGTGCAGTATTCAATACTACCGTTACGTACAGAAGCACGACCTTCACGATCAACTATAGTGGCTAATTGCATTGCTTGTAGTTGATTACAATGTATGGAAAGATTTAATGCCCTAATTACCTAAAAGAAATACGATATTTGATAAATAAATAATCACCAATACAATATAATTTAATAGAACTGTTTTTCATGAAAGCGAAATTAACACAGTAAATTCTAGTTATCAATTTGTTTATTTTAATTCATATCCTCACTATAAGATTGATGTATCATTCTCAAATGAATCAAAACATTAAACATCTAACTATTTTAATTCGAATTTTCTAATAATAAAGGACGTGCTTTTACTAATAATCATATATCCCTTATCAGGATATCGCCGTTTCAGTCTTTAACATCTGTTCTCACTCTTGTCATTTCTAATTGGACTTCTCTTGGATATTTTCTTTTATCATCTTTCTCTGTCCACAGGCATAAATGCTACAGCAGTCTATCTTTATTAAGAATGATGAATAAATTAAAAGAATTAAAAAAAGAAAACTAACTGAATCAAAGGTATGAGTTTCATCATTTAACAAAATAGTTTGATAAAGTGGTAAAATGTTATCTGCTTCTCTTTCCCTGCAATAAAGCTATAGGTTACAAAAGGATCATATTTCAAGTTGATATCTAATGCTAAACAAATAAAAAAGAACGGAAAATATAGATATAAACTGAAGTTAAACAAATTGAAGTTAAACAAATTGAAATATTACTTTAGAAATGACGGCAACACGTCATCACGCCAACAGATAATTTTAATTGAAAATCGAAGCACAATACGTGTTAATGAGCGTATACGTGTTTCAACTTGTTCTGTAATTTCTGCTGGCACATCAGTCATTCTGAAAAAAAAAGAATTAAAAAAGGACTCTACTTCTGAACCTATCTACTCAACCTTCCAATGAAAATTTCTGATACTAGATAAGAAGCACGCTGTTAAACAAAAAAATGAAATCTTTTTCCTCCTCCCCCTGTTTTTTAAATCGATTATTTTTTGAAAGTGTTTTATTACTAGTAGTTTGAGTATATTAAAATTTTATAAAATTAATAGTAGCGAGCTGGGAAAAGTCATTAGTTTTGACAAACGTGAGTAATCTAATGAGTAAACATGATCCTTTGCATTCGCGCCGCATTAACATTAAATTTAAGATAAATAATAATGTTAAAAATTACTGCGAATCCTCCTCGTCATTTCGTCGTACTTCGTGTAATTTGCACGTCGGATGCTCTTTCCAAGCTTCTACATCACCACAGTCACAATAACCATTTCCACTAGATGCCCACATCTCAAAAGGCATTTATTTTTAATACTGATATAAAATGAGAACCCAGCATATCTGTTTTTTAAATCGATTATTTTTTGAAAGTGTTTTATTACTAGTGAGTACATTAAAACTTATATTTTCATCATTTGAGTACATTAAAATTTATATTTTCATAAAATTAATAGCAGCGAGCTGGGAAAAAGTCATTAGTTTTGACAAACGTGAGTAATCTAATGAGTAAACATGATCCTTTGCTTTTTTTTTTCTGGAATAAAAATTTTATCTAAACAAACCTTAATCCTTTGGAAAACATTCAAAAAATAACTTACTCCGTATCTGTGTGATTTATGAACAGAGTTCAAAAAACATTCATAACACATAACGCATGTAGGATCACAAGCACATTCTCTGGAAGAAAAAAAAAGTATTTATTAAAAAATTCTGGATTAATTATTAACAATTTCTAAAGGCATTACAATTTTAGGAGAACGTTCGGTAATATATAGGATAATATTTTTTGCTTTCTTCTTTACAATTAACTTATCAGAATGAAAAATACGTAAGAATGACAATCGGATAATTAATTAAATTTTATCAGATTGTAAAGACTAATATAATTTCACATCATGAATATACGAAGAAGTAACGATGTCAATTACTTGATATATAATCCATCCTCTAAATATATTTGAAATTTTCGTTCTTTTTTGATTAAATAACTCGCCAAAACTTATTTAACGTGTTTTTGGACTAATTAAATCGTTTTATTTAAACAACTCCATTAACTGTCTCCCCAAAAAAAAAAACGAATATATTTAATTTACGAACTTGCAAGAATAGGTCGCTTCTCCACCTCTGAAAACATGGCCACAGAAAGCACTTCGACGATTTGCACTTGATTTCGATCCGTATGATGCATTAAGTGGGGTTAAATCTGTTCCAGCATTTCTATCCAAGCAGTATGCATAAGCAATGGGATGCAGTAGCTTTTCATCTGAAAAATATCTCTATTTTATACAACAAACTTGCACATTACGACGCTAAGTTCACACAGAATAATATATTTCATTTGAATGATAAAAATTACTATATCCCAAAGTTAAAACGAGAATCAGAAGTTTCTAGAAGTTCGAATTCTTAATGACAACATCTGATACAGACTTAGAGTTAATAATTGTAATTAAGTAAAGTTTACTGCTTGTTAGATATTAGATATTATGGTAGTCATCTAGTTATTCACTAAAGCGCACTTCCTATAACAGTTATTAACATTTCAGGATGCTACCATACCCGAATAACAATTCTGCTCATATAAAAAAGTACTTTATATTTTCTTTTAACAAGATTTGTTTTTGGTAATTTACGTTCATAATTTCGGTTTTAGTTTTTGTAGGATAGAGATGTTAATGGTTTTTTGTTATTGCTTTGATATTTGTAATTTTAATTACAGCTCGTTATTTTTATTTTAATTCAAGATGATTTTTCTAGTATGTTTTCTCTTTTTCAATTATTCTGTTACAGAAATTTTAAAAACCCTGCATATATATGTGATGAATACGCAGTTTCACTTCCTTATATTTGAGCAAACTTGAACGTACAGTGAAATATTTGTCGCTAATACTGATGTGATATTTTATAATGCTGGTAAGATGTAGCTATACTTTTAGCTTAGCTATATTAATCCTGTCCTTCTTAAGCTCAAGATATTTCTATGAAGCTTATTTTGGTTGAATATTAATTTTTCTGTAAATATCATTAAATTCATTCATTATTCGTAACATTCATTAATTATGTTAAAAAAAACATGCTAAAACTGAATTGCAAAACTTTGAAAATTTTAAAGAAAAAATTGAATAGCAAAACTTTGAAAATTTTAAAGAAAAAATTGAA